ACTATTACCTTATATATAATAATTTTGTTTATTAATTAAATATCTATCTATTCAATAACATTTATGACCGATTCCTAAAATTAAAAAATAACTAAGGGACAAACTTTAATTACATTTTATTTATATCCTAATTTTCACTCTAAATACATTTTAAATAGAAAATAATTAAATACATCTTCTTTAAAATCTGTAAACTCTTAAATTCTGTCATAACGTTAAAAATTGTACTATTTTATATAGTATCATTTTAGCCAGTAGGGACAGATGTTCAATTGTATTCAATGAATAATGAATAATGTTAATTGTAAATAACATTATTCATAATAATATATATTCATTAAAATAATAATAATAATTCTAATAATAATTACTAATTTACTTCTTACTTAATCATAATAATTATTTATATTTTAATTGTTAATTGTAATTGTAATATTGTTAATTGTTGTTCAATTTAAGTATTTTCCTTAACAATTCTATAACTATAGGGGAAGGTAAGTGTTATTAAATAAATTGAAACTTAATTAAAAATAGATACGCAAGTAAAATAATTATTAGATATAATGTAACAGTAATTAATAAATAAAAATCATTATTAATTATGTATTTATCAATAATTAATAAACTTAATATAGCGTGTTTTTGACCGGGACTACCGGTTGACCTTAAATGATGCTCTAACCGCGAGCTCTCCGCCCTCTATCTCGAAAATGATTCAACGTATAAAAAAATTGTTTTTAAAAAAGTTGTAGGAAATTGAATCCTCTACAATATTGATAATAAATACAAATAGCGAAAAACCCATAGGAAACGAGATATTCGCAAAAAATGTGCAAAAAATCGATTTTTTTGAGCTTTGACCTTAGATTTTAATAGTCCCGTACACCTTACCATATGTAAGTTTTAAGACAACTTTTAGAATGTCAAAATATAAGTTTATACGGATTTATAGCTCAGTATCTCAAATTCCGAAATTCTTACCTAATTTGACTGGACTACTTATACAGGACGAATCTTGTAACTGGGACGGGTAATAACTACTTTTTAAGTAACAATAGAGAAAAATAATTCAGGAAAAAGTTATATGGCACATCACATGTCACCTTCCTATGACCTTACTTTTTTTGAAAATGCATCGATGCACCTGCTAGATGCAGTTGCACTTTTTTTTAAAATGAAACTTTATATTTATTTTTATACAGTTCGATTCCTTTTTTTATTCTGCGTTAAAGAGTATTAAGGGAAGGTCATTGAAATGTCAATAGTTTACGAGATATTTGAAGTTTTATATCAGTAATGTTTTTCATTAGAATAAGTGTTTGAATATTCCTCCGTTGCATTCTAAGCATTCTCTAACGCGCTTTTTTACATTTTTCATTACATTTTTTAATTGATATTGGAACAATACATTGTTATACGCTCTTTTAAATCATATATCTATATATATATAAAAATTCGGTGTCACAATGTTTGTCTTCTAATAACTCCGTAACTTTTACTCGATTTTAATGAAAATTTTTTTATAATTTTGTTTGATTTGTTCTGACTTAGAATATAGAATAGATTTTATCAAGATTATTTTTCTTTTTTATTGGAAAATTAAATAATTCATTATATAGAGGTAATTTTTCTTCTCTAGTTTCTGTAAATATTCAATAGACGGCGCCGTATTTCATTTCATTTTTTCAGATTTACGTAAGATATAACCTTGTTTTTTCGATTTTTTTCGTGTATTTTAGTATATAACAAACAGATGAATTATTAAATCACATAAAAACTAAGTATCAATTAATAATTTAACAACAATCGTATAGACAATTTAAATAAATTTATTTTTCCCCGTTTGCTTCTTCAAAATTCTATTATAACAATCGCATAGTTTAAAGTGAAATAGAAAAAAGGTAAAATATAAAMATTTAAGTATGTAGCTTAAGATCTACGATAATATGGACCACTTTTTAATAGCACGATACGCACGAACGATAATCGAATAACGTTTGTGGAAGGGACACAATCCAACTAGCCTACCATAATTTCGATTCACTTCAGATTCCGTTACGCAGCTGAGCACAGAGAGTTTGAAACGGTGGTTAGCCAGTTGCATGCATTTCTCATTGTCCTGTGCATGTAACTATGTAAATACATACATATAAATAAATAGATATATATATACGTATACATAGGTGTATACATACATACAAGTTAGTTTTATCTACTATTGTAACTTTTCTTAACATTCGCTCTCTCTTTCTCCCTCTCTCTCTTTCTTTTCTTCTTTCTCTTTTATTTATCACAGATAAAAGGTGATACTTGAACGATTCTATCTCTCTCTTTTTCTTTTTCTTTTTTTTTTTTTTTCTATGTAAGTACACTACTATAAAGTAAATATATATATATTTCCTTTGGTGTAAAAGTGACCACGCCCAAAATACCAGACTTCAACGTTATTGTCGTGACTGCATGAGTTTATAATTGCAGCATAAAGTTTCATTGTGAATTGCCTCGTATTTCTTCTGTACCTAAACGTCGATATGATATTATTTGTATATCCGGTTTTTGACTATACGCGAATAAATAAAGTTATTCGTGTTTATTTCGATCATATTTGACTGATATTTTACTATTTGTATAATAAGGATGAACATGATTTCCAGTTGAATTAGTTTTTTAATAAATATTTTAGCCGTTTATTTCGAAATTGGCCTAACTCAATTTTCCCCAAAATCGTGTTAGCTACCCTAATAGTTACATTTTTACATGATCTTTTMATTCTGAGGCCATTTCTTAATAATATATTGGGTCTACAAGTAAGTTTCCAGCGTTTAAAAAAAATAAAATTTAAGGGTTTATTCTGATAAAAGAYACAATTTTTTCCCATCTTTCTGACAATTTGTGAATTCTGAATCAAAAATAGTTCTCRTCTTTTGAGCCCAAGAACGTATTGAGCCAATTTTTGATTCCCTATACTGAAATGAAGCGCATTYCGGTAAGAGCGTTCTGCATMKACCGWAACAAGTGGTAGTYGGATGGCGCCAAATCTTGACTATAAGACGGGTGAGGCAGAATTTCTCATCCACTATTATCCATGTAGTTTTTGACCGGAGCAGCAACATGTRRCCAAGCGTTGTCGTGGTGAAAAATTACGGACTYGTGCGYRGTYTGTTATTCTGGCCRTTTTTCCGCCAATGAACGKATTTATTTGCGCYAAATAAGCGTCATTTGCGGGAAACWCTGCTTCYATTTTTTAATATGAAGAAAAGTGCAGCTGAGGCCTATAGYTTGCTTCYGAAAACTTACAGAGCGGAATGTATTGGTGAATCAACGTGTCGTGAGTGGTTCGAACGGTTAAAAAATAGTGATTTTGACGTTGAAGACAAGGAGCGCTCCGGAAAGCCGAAAAATTTTGAGGACGAGCAATTGGAGGCTTTGCTGGATGAGGATTCGTGACAAATTCAAGAAGAGCTTGCTGCATCATTTGGCGTCATACAACAAGCCATTTTCCTGCGCCTAAAAGCTTTGGGATTTATCCTAAAAGTTAGAAATTGGGTGCTGTACGAGTTGAAGCAGWGAGATGTCGAACGGCGATTTTGCATGTCAGAAATGTAGCTGCAGCGGCATAAAAAAAAGTCGTTTCTGCATCTTTTTGTCACTGGTGACGAAAAAGGGATCTATTATGATTATCCTAAACGCAAAAAAAAAAACATATGCAAAGCCTGGCGAGACGGCTAAATCGACGCCGAAGTGAAATATTCACATAAATAAGGTCATGCTCTGCATATGGTAGGTTCAGAAAGGTGTCATATACTACGAACTGCTTCCGAGTGGTCAAATCATCAAAGGACCATTTTATCGAGCCCAACTAATTCGTTTGAAGCGGGCATTKGTGGAAAAACGGCCAGAATATCAGACCAGGCACGAGTCCGTAATTTTTCACCACGACAACGCTTGGCCACATGTTGCTGCTCCGGTCAAAAACTACATGGATAATAGTGGATGAGAAATTCTGCCTCACCTGTCTTATAGTTCAGATTTGGCGCCATCCGACTACCCCTTGTTTCGGTCGATGCAGAACACTCTTACCAGAATGCGCTCCATTTCAGTAGAGGGAATCAAAAATTGGCTCAATACGTTCTTGGGCTCAAAAGACGGGACCTTTTTTTTGGTCCAGAATTCACAAATTGCCAGAAAGATGGGAACAAATTGTATCTTCCAATGGACAATATTATGAATGAAAAATATGTTACTATTTTTTCGGAATAAACCCTCAAATTTTATGAAAAATCCCTGGAAACATACTTTTATATCCAATATATACTAAGATTCTCCCTTTTCTGATAAAATGTTGATTTAATATATTTCTAAATTATTTGATAAATTCGATCAAAACACAAAATAATATCACAATTACAATGAAATACATAAAATAATAATAAACGAAAAAATATAAAAAGCAAAGCTAGATTATGTCATATGTAAATGCGACAAAAAAAAACGTATGACGTGAATATATCGAAATAATGACGTTGCAATACAGCGATATCTATTGAAAACTTACAGTACCTAAAGATCTAGATAAGCTTTAAACTATAAATCATTAAATTAGCAATAAAAAATAAAATTAATCGCTATAAAAAGTATCCAATGTCCTTAGTTGAAAAAAATGACACAAAATTAAAAAAATTTCGTTAAGATCGGTTCAGTAGCTTCAAAGTTCATTGGAAACGAACAATGTGGAACTGAATTTGTATTTATAAAGATAAATTAGATGATGATGATTAAACAAATTGTAATACTTTGAATGAATGATTAAAAATAAATTATATAACCTTTCTAATCATTTATTTATCTAATGTTAGAACAATACTAAGAAATATAATAACGAAATTGTGGTAATGAACTAACAATTATAAAAATCATTAGACATCTTCCGAAGAATTTAATCGTACTATTTTAATCCTCATGAGATAATATCGTTTTGATTTTTTTCTTTTTTTTTTAAGACTATAATTCTCATAGATCATCGGCAATGGCAATGATGATAATTCTATGAACGATTTGATGAATCAGCAAGGAGACTTATCTATTTGAAAAATATATTACGTAGTTAGTATTAATTTACATGACCGAGAATAGACACATACAGATGTATTATTATATATTAACATAAATAAATATATTTTCCGCATTGTTTTCAAACAATGTAGATATTTTTTTACAGTTTAATTTTTTCCCCTCTATTTTTTACATTTTTTGTTTCTTTGTTGTTAGTATTTTTCTTTTATTTTTTATTGTAAGTTTTTTACGAGAAATATTGTTGTTGCATTGTAAGCAATAAAAGTAACTTAGTGTTAAGGAGTCGTCATGTGCGTAGTTATTAATAATTATTTTTTTTAATTCTCTTTTGATGAGTTTCTTTTTTTATTACCATCATTGATTTAATTACTTATTCGAATAATGATCAAATTTAATGAAATTATTATTTTTTAATTTATTTAATAGATACACGTTACCTAAGTACGTTCCTTTTTGTAATCTTTATCGAAATTTTCATGAATGCATACACATATATACAATACATATATCGTTATACTAATACAATCGTTAATGTGTTAACAAGATTTTAAGTATTTTAACTTTAAACTCTAATAATACTATTATAACAAATGTGTCGAAATTTTAATTTGTAATTAATTTCAAAATTTAGTTTACTGTTTTTTTTAATTGTTTTTTTTTTTTTTACATTATTTCAGATAATTTTTTGTTTTATCGTTCGTTCGGAAAGCTTTTCCGAAAAATTTAAAGATAATAATAATAAAAGAATAAAAAATAAAACGATATAGGATATTGCGAGTGTTTGTTTGTATTTAAGGGGACACATCAACAAAAAAAATCGATTTTTTTCTTTTTTGATTTTCTGAAAGAATATTATTTCGAAAATATTTCTTCAAATTTTGGTAAAGATCCGCCCATTATTTACGAAACTGTAGTAGTTTAAACTGAGCGCGCCGTATCGCTCCAAGTAAGTGTCCAAAAATTTAAACTTTAATTTCTCCTATTCCCGTTTTTAACCCTTTCGCTACGGGACGGATCTCCGCCGAGGTACTCCCGCAGTACGGCGCGCTACACCGAAACGGTGCACGCAACGTTCGAGCCGGTGTCGTAAGACTTATGATCGAGGCATTTGGTTTATTATTGAAGCCCGTAAAAAACAAATGATGCAAAACGAAAGACTCATGCGGCATGTTTAGAGTGAGATACTCTGTGCATAGCAACTGCAGGCGCTTATCATATATACAATTACGCGACATCTTTAGCGGGAGCGACTATAGT